GAGACTTTGTTTCCCATGGAATAGATCCTTCTGGAAAGTTGGGAGTGGAGGTCAGCTGGGTCAGGAGAGCTGAAGCAGGGATGAAATGCGGCCAGAGAGGCTCAGTGGCAGGAAGAACTTGCCCTTGGGTGGCAGCCAGCAGTGACCTGGATGAGAGGAACGAGGGCTTTGAGTTTCCGAAAGGAACTCGGGTTGAAAGCATTTTGTTTGTGTTTGATGCTTGCTGACGGATTGTCAGGAGGAGGCTGAAAGCTGCAGATCCTGCTAATGAAACTGCAGTGGAAGAAGCTAATATTTGTAGGGATTTTCTGCCTGCTGTGCACTGTGCTACGCCCTTGCTGGGAATTATTTTATCTAGTCTTTAGAACCGCTCGGGCAGGCAGACATTATTTATTTATTTAATTTAGATGTTTATTATTTGGAGATAGTTGTAGATTTACACACAGTTATAAGAAATAAAACGGTGGGGAGAGGGGATAGCTCAGTGGTAGAGTGCATGTTTAGCATGCATGAGGTCCTAGGTTCAATCCCCAGTACCGCCATAAAAAAAAAAAAAAGAAAGAAAAAAGAAAAAAAAAACAAGAAAAAAACCCCAAGAAATAAAGCAGAGATACCTGTCTATACTTTACCCAATTTCCCCTCAATGGTAACTAACACCTTCCAGATCACGGAACAATGTCACAACATGGATACAGTATTGACATTGATACAGTAAAGATAAAAGCCACTTCCGTCACCACAAGATGACCAAGAGTCATCTAAGGGTGCCCTTTTGTAGCCAGATCGACCTCCCTCCCACCCCCATTCTCTCCATAACCCCTGGCAACCATCTGTTACCCATTTCTGTAATTCTGTCATTTCAGGAATGATATATACATAGAAGCATATATAACCTCTAAGATTGACTTTCCTCACTCAACAAAAGTTCCTGGAGATTTATCCAAGTTGTTGCCTGTGTCAGTAGTTCCCTCTTTTTATGGCTGAGTAATACTCCATTACAGATGTGGACGTAGACATTATGACGTCATCATTTAAGTTTTACAGATGAGCAAAGTGGATTTTGGAGAGACTGTGTGAGTCGCTCTCGGGTCATAATCCCGTTAACTGTTGGAGCTGGGATTTAAACCCGGGCAGCAGAATTGACACCTTCTCTGATCTCTGTGCGCCTCCAGGATTTGAAGGGAGGAGGCTTGCCTACCTCCCAGAATCCGACCTGGCCTGCCACGGGTGGAGGCTTCATGCTACTTTGCTGAATGCTCACATTTTACCGTAGGAGTCCTGAGTGACAGCTGCAGACTCACAGTGCTTAGCGTTTGATTTATTTTTAGTGTCACCGTATCACAAAAAGTTTGACATATTCATACAGATAGTGGCTGATGGTAACAGTATATCTAAAAATGCCTTGATTTCCACGTGGGGGTAATAAGTAATTGGAAATCACAGGAGAAGCTGAAGGAGTTAACGTGTTAGCCATCTTTGAGATGTTGAAGTTTGGTTCCTAACAGATTTGAATACTCACTTTAAAATGATAGCCTTGAAAATAGTGTGTCCATGCCTAGTGGTCTCCTGTAGTGTGTGTGAGAGTAACGTTCTGAAATTCCTCTACTGGGGACTTACTTAGTAAGAATGTATTTTTTTCTAGGGGGAGGGTATAGCTCAGTGGTAGAATGCGTGCTTAGTGTGCACGAGGTCCTGGGTTCAATCCCCATTACATCTATTAAAAAGTGACTAAATAAATAAACCTAATTACCCACCCCCTAAAAAAAATATTATTTTCTCCTGGTTGGTATGTAGCCATCTTCAGACCTCTAAACTCTTCTTCCTTAATATCCTTCCCCTGGTGTGCTGGGCTGTACTGCATCCTATTAAACTTGCCTTTGGTCAAAATGAGCCGGCTTCCTTTGTCAATAGGAGCCACCTTTGTGACTGGACTAGCGTAGAATGTTCTTGACCCTGCAGAAACCAGTCCCCACCCCTGCCCAGCTATCATCCTCTTTATTTAGCTGTAAATACCACCCACATAGCTCCATCCAGCGTCCTCAGAGTTTCCGGAGGCAACTGATTTTTATAATCTGTCAAAGCTGTTGTGAAATTTTACCTAGAGGTTCAGCTTTTCATTTGCAGTTTCCTTGACTGGTTTCTCGAAACCTGGCTTGCCAAGATTTCAGTTCGCTGGAGGCAGCAAATTTAAAACCCTTATCTTTCACTCCTTTTCCTAAGAGAATCAGAAGACTAATAAAGCCAAGTTTTTGCTTCTCCTTTTGTCAAAAAGAATACTGACCACCACAGCAATAAAATGGCCAACAAATTGAGCGTGTACTTACCATGTGCCAGGCATTACTCTGGGTCCGTGTTGTTGAATTTTCACAACACAGTGGTAACTGTTGTCAACCCAGTTTTACAGGCGAGAGTGTAGTCCTGGGGCAGGTGACTAACTCGAGCGTGGAGGTGGGAGAGATGGGGGTTTGGACTCCCGGGATGTGCCAGAGAGGCTTGGCAGTGTGATTCTCGGCTAGACTATCAGCTGGAAGTTGGGTGGTTTTCAGCTCTTTTCTTCCCCCATGTTAAAAAAAGAGACAGAGAGAGAGAGATCCTTTACACGTATATTGTATATAACATGTTCATACACACAGTTCTTTCCTGTGCCGTGGAGATTAGGACAGATTCCTAGGAGAGACACTGCTTTGAGACACCGCTCCTCTTTCTTTCTTCCTTCCTT